CAGGCCGCATCAACATTACTGTCCAGTACAAACACGACAGTAATTAGTTATAGTATGACATAAGAAACACCTAAAGAGCTCACAAAAACAAGAAAGGCGCAACATGAGATCAAAATCCAGTGGATACATGGCCATTACAACATTCCTAGAAACACAGCTGTCGATGAAGTGGCGCGACAAGCACATCCTAAAGATGTTTCTGTTTCTTTACTTATCTCTAAAAACAAATTGCGTAGTATTATAAAGGCTACAACTTACAGATTGAGCAAAAATACTTGGTTTGACCAAAGTACAAAGATCAGTGATTTATATCACACCGATCCATTCATTGAATTCGAAATAGATAGAGGTATGGAAACACTTATTCACCGGTTAAGTTTAGGCACCGCAAACACAATATATTTTTGCACAGAATTGGTAGAGATGAAACTACTATATGCTAATGTGAATTTGTAGATGAAGACATATGTCACCTTATTCACTGTGCACATCATGACACGCCGAGACGCCATCCTAAATCAGAACTGTTCTCATTAGACCACAGACCGTTTAGTATCAAAAACGTCTGGGGATGTGGCCAACTGGTGTTTTACAGACGTACGCTTTAAAGTGTTAAAACCTGTTTTATAACACTGGCAAGTACTAAGAAATAACGAGCTTTCATTTCTGTGGCATTCCGTACTTGTTATGCACAGAATATACATCTATGATAAGTGTGTGCTGAAGTGCATAGCGTACGGTTATGTTATGTACACATGAGCGAACACACCTTCGCAAGGACCATACGTGTGCATCGATATTTTGTTCAGATTGGATTGAATTTTAGTTATGGGCATTATCAGAGACATTATTTATTGATTTTGGAGCATTTCCTTATCTCTGTGTAGGTGTTGCTTGATATGTACGTGAGTGTGTTTTTGCATATGTGTGCTCGGGTGTTCTAATTTCCATGTGCTGCTCTTTATTTTTCATTTAAGTGATGTGGACATTCACTCAAGGGCCAAGGAGTAGTCGGCGCCATACTTGTGCGCAAACATCTCCTTATATTATATCAATAAAAAAAACAAGGAGAATGAAGGAATGGAGGCCACGTCGTAACCATAAGAGAGAACAGTGACACGAGCATGTTGGGGTCTGAACAGGCTGCGTGACGCATTTATCTACTTTAACGTTTAAAGCAGTAATATTTATCGGCGTGATAGATGAGCCAAGATCACAAAATGATAGTGACGGCAGGCGTGCCATAGCGTGGGACTCTGAATTAGCTTTATCCACCTGGGGCTCTATAACGTGCCCCTAAATTTACGTACACGGACATTATTCCATGTCACACACATAAAAATTTTGATAGTGTGGATGATGATGATGATGATCGTGATGATGATGATGTCACCGCTTTAATGACAATCACTCACAAATGGGTGTCGGCCAGGAACTGGGTGGCAGGATGTTTGAGGTAGACACACCTATGGAGCCAAAAGCAGACACTACAGTTTTACACTAAAAACAAAATCGAGCCCCGAAATGCCGTCGGTAAAGGTGGTTATCAATCCAGTGCCCTTGAAGTCAGTACCATGACGCCTGGTTAGCTAACACACTGGATAATAAAGTAGTGGGTGCCACACCACCATGCAAAGCTTTCCTCGACTCCATTCATACAGTAACGTGTGGCAGTTAGGCAGGACTATAGTTGGCTTCTCTAGAAAGGTTGCCACTTAAGTCTCGAAATTGGACGACGGCATGGAGAATATATAGGGCACTGCGCTGACTACCAAGTCATATATTTATTATAAACGCAGAGATTTTAAAGGTAGGAGAACAAATATCGAAAAGTGGTACGGACGCTATCGAGCGATTTCACCGGACGGCTTTTCTATTTATTTCGATAAGGACTTTGCAAGAAGTGACAAATGAAGATTACATAGGAACTGAACATCAAAAATGGCGATATATAATGACGTTGCGATCGGCCCGAGATCGAATAAAATAGATAAAACCTGACATTTATAAATAGAGGAAACCAAAAAGTGGGGTCAAAAAAAAAAACCATACCTATGTTTTTTTTTCTTGTTAGATTATATTTTGGTTTTGTTGGTGTAGGAATGTCTGGTTTTAGCAATTTTATCCGGTTTTGTACCGCCCACCACGTCAATATTTTTTGCCATTTTGCGCACATGCTCACGTGTTTATAATATCTGCATGTGCCGCATCTCGCTAAACCCTTATGAAAATTAACGGAGACGCCATGCGGCCGAGCACTCGGCTGGCCTTGCACCTTTTTTTAGTATTTGTTGGCCTTCTTATATATTCTCTACCTTTTCAATACAGAAATCAGTTAGTAGCGCTGTGCTGTGTATATTCTTAATCCCGCCGTTTGCTTTGTTTCACAGCAATGTTCATAAACCAACAAGCTCAATTCAGAGCCCTTGTCTCGAACTTTCATTTCCTGCATCTGATGCATGTATGAGTGATGCAGAGCGTAATCTTCGCACACAACGCAACCAGGGCTTTTATGATGTAATAAGGTAACAGTGCACGCCCTCTTAGAAGTTGCGATGATAATGCGTCATTATTTCATGTTGTGAGAGACCGCACCATCTTCAGTCTACGTAGATCTAACTGGCAATTGTGCATGAAGGCCGAACCGGCAGCTGTGAAATGCGAAAAAACCCGGCTGGTGTGCCTGGCTGCTGCAGGTTTATCGTTTCAGCTCCGTGCATGCAGTGCTTGCACAAGCTGGACAGTAAGATAAATAAACTTTTTTTTTTCTCTTTTTTCTCTTTCAGAGGCGTGAGCCGGTGAAAGAGTGCGTCCTATAGGGCATAGAGTTTCCTAATATACACTTCAGGGAACTCTGGCGCTAGTGTATATGGGAGCTGCAACGCACGGCGCTTGAGCGGGCATGGACATAATGGGTAGTATACGTATTTGTCTAATATTCGTACTTCTGGCCCGCTTCCGGCTCCGCGTGTGTTCGTGTGGCTTGGAGCTGCTTTCTCACGAAACAAAAATCAGCAAATGTTCAGCGATTGTGCTTCAACACCTACTTATTTTAGACTTACCTTTCCAAATTGGGTCACGAAGTTCAAAATGTTTCAATCTTTATTTCAAAACGAAACCGAAACACAGCAATGAACGAAGCCGCAAGTAAGATTCGCCGCCCGCAAGTACGAAAACTAGGCAAATGTGTGTACTACCCATCATTACCATGGTCGCTGAACGATCACAGCGCCAGAGTTCCCTCTAGTTAATTTTACGAATTTCTATGCTGTTAAGGGGGTGGCACTTCCACTCTAGGATGCCATGAGTTTACGGCTTGCCCCTGACTCACCAGATGTCGCTGATATTGGAGGCTTGAGCTTGTGAGCTGCACCTCGCACTCGGTGATGTTTGGTGCGGAGGAACACTATTAGATTCAAGGGGATCAGAGCTGTGACTTTTTTTTTTACTGAATGTGACATCGCAGGATTCATTTCTAGATGGCTATATTCCTGTTGAAGGTGGACTACAAGAATTTTCGCTTAATTAGAAAATGATGCATTCACACGATAACATCTGCGGTGAGAATCGATCTCCAACGCCATTTTACCATAACACTAAGCAGCTTCGGTGTGTTTACGCCAATCGCTCGAGTTTTCAGAAACGCTTCCAAAAGGCGGCACCAGTACTCACCGAATCGTCTATATTTTACTTGATGCGGACTGACCTCCCCTTACGAGGGAAGCGTTCACAAACGTACCGTGGTCGTTAAGATACTGCTAGTAATAATAATCATCATTGGCGGTTCCCACAGCTATTTATAAAAGTAATCTCACATATATGAATGCCTTATTATTCGCATCTTGTCTCTTAATACTTTTGAGTTTCCTCAAGTCAGTGACGGCCCTAGCCAGAAAAGCCACAATTCACATGAAGTTTTGCATGAACAAACAAGAAAAATATTGTTTTAGTTCTCGACAAACCCTTTTGCCCTGCCGTTATTGTGACAATGCACGGAATTTGAGGGGAAAAAAAAAACTTGATCTTGCTGTGCTTTTTTTATCAACGTACAAAAGGTTGAAGGAAGAAAAGACGTTTCTGACAGCTGACTGACACAAGCCGCTTTCCGCTTGTGAGCGTTCTAGAGCTCCGTGACACACAGACTGACCGCTTCTTGATGGCTGCCTTTCAACACCTGTTCTAACTTTATGTACATTTTTATTTAAAATGCGAATCATTTCTGAGTGAACTTGGGTGACTTTGACCGTATCTGGCCATCTATCTAGCCGCCAACAACTTTTAGCTCTCCTGGCCGTTTCGATAACGGGAGCTATACCAAAATTGGTATTTCATAACATGGCTGTATGACGTATATAAGTGACTATAGTCATAACATGAAGATCATGACATGTGTGTCATGAATGTCCTTATTCAGTCTCATGCTGAAGGTATCGAATGTTTAAGACATTTCAGTGTCTCGTGTTTTCCTATTCTTAAAAAGCTTTCTTTGCGCATTCAGTCTTACTTCCAATTCGGAGCCCTTTAGGTTCATGGAAAACACGCGAATAGAGCCAGTCATGCAATCGTTTGTGACTGGCGATCCAAGAGCGAGTCCATGCTACTGGTGTTCACACCTGTACACAATCAAACCCTTTGTCACAGAGAATTCATGTCTGCTCGTATTGCTGTTGCCCCGTAAAATGATAGATGACGTTCCGTTCCTGCAAACATGATTGTTTCAGACGTTTGCGACTGAGTAGCGAGCGATTGAACCAGGTCAGCCGCTTTGTGATCAATGCTGTCAGTTGCGATTAGTAGCTTTGTGACTAATCTGGTCGCGCAACGGGTCCTTTCGATCACGTGCTTATTAAAAAAACACAGCAAAATAGAGATAAGGAAAAGCGATAGTTTCTGTAGTCCCCGGTAAAATATACGCGTAATAACTTTGTTCCGAGTGACATTTTTGATGATGTGTAGTGTTGATGTTGAGACATGTTTTGTAACACGCATTGTCATCGCAGGTCTGCGGCCTGCGGTGGGCATCTCTCTCAAGATGGGCTGCAGCATAGAAGTGCTGGACAAGTGTGGCGCTGACCTGGTCATTTTCGGCACGGGCCACACGGTTCCCAACAACACCAAAGAGCTGCTCAAGCAGTGCGAGTGAGTAGCCCACATCGGCATTGTGTTGGAAATGTCCACTCTATCACTTTATTTCTGTTGCTGATGTCAGAGTGGAGCTCCTCAAGCAGTGCGAGTGAGTAGCCCACATCGGCATTGTGTTGGAAATATACACTCTATCACTTTATTTCTGATGCTGATGTCAGAGTGGCCTCACGAATAGTCGGATAAGTGTGTTATCTGTTGTTTGCTTCCATGTTTTTTACTTATGAGAGTCGTTTGTAAGCGAAACAGACATGTCTATGCTAGGCAACTCATTAGCTTAGAAGAGATAGCTGATCGCCAGTGTCTCTGACCCCTCTTTCATTTGCGCTTGCTTAATCAGATATGTGTTACTCGCCTGTTTTCATCACATTTAGGAGACATGCTCAGTTGCCCTGCCCTATGTAATCGAGTTGCGGAACGAAATACGTGACCATGAAAAGTTTAGGCATGAATATTTATTTATAACGCCACAGTATTAAGTGGCTGTGTTTGCTGCCGTCAGCAACGCTTGAGAGAGGGCAGCGTGAGACCTCGCAACCTAGCCCGTATAACAAGGAATTATTTCGGGGAAGGGTGCCACACGTTGAATGCCTGCCCGGCCACGGTGGTCTAGTGGCTAAGGTACTCGGCTGCTGACCTGCAGGTCGCAGCATTCAATACCGGCTGCGGCCACTGCATTTTCGATCGAGGCGAAAATGCTGTAAGCCCATGTGCTCAGATTTGGGTGCAAGTTAAACAATCAAATAAGTGGTCAAAATTTCCGGAGCCCTCCACTACGGTGTCTCTCATTATAATATGATGGTTTTGCGACGTTGAACTCCACATATGGTTCAATCAAAATCACGTTGAATGCCTTGAAGAAAACTTATTTTTATTATTTGTCCTTGGTAAAACACCCCCTCCATCCGAATGTCGGTGGCGGGAGGGGGTGATGTTTTACTAACGTAAACACCTGTGCCGGGAACAAAAAGGAGGCGTATTGTAGTTGTTTAAGTCAGGTTGTGCCCGCACGAGCTATATGCTTTACCACTTACAGATTCTTTGCTCGCTAACCACAGTAAATCTATGATATATTCAATGCTTTCTCACTATTTGTATCGGCGTTGACAAGATATGTGGAACAAAACAATTATGCTAAGCTGTCTCGCATTTGGTATGAAGGACTCTAGACCATGTGAATCCTAATAAGCAAAAAACAAAAAGTCTTGCCCCAAATTACTAAGCTTGCGTACTTCGAGATCGATCATTCCAGCGAGTCCGGACACTGACAGAGTGACTTAGGCTTACTAGGCAAATTGATACTTTTAGCTATGTGATTCTGTGCGACGCTTGTTCTTTCTTCGTCCGCAAGATGATTGTGCTGCGTAAAAAATGCTTCAGTGCGACACCGGGTGTTCGTTCAGTGAGTGAGTGGCTCGTATTGAGACTGAGGAAGTGGAAGTGTGGCGTTTCCATCGCAGGATCGAGTTTTCCGCCGGAATCTGTGCGCGCCAGTTCGCCAACCGGTGCCTGCCTCCGCTTCCACGGGGCATGGTGGTGGTCATCCTGGAAGGCATCAGCCAGGAGGTCTCCTCCAAGTGCAATGTCTCCAATCCATTACACGATGGTAGGTGGAACTAAACAAATTGAGTGAAAGTGCTACTAGTGGATAAGCGTTTTGATATGACATGGCACGCTTAAACAAGAGATGGAATGAAGAGGACGCGAAACAACCAAACACGCACTTGTTTTGACAGTGTCAGTTTGTCCTCTTTTTGTTGTGCGCTTTAAGCTTTAATAATGGCCTAAAAAATGGTGTCTAACTCGCCCAAATGTGTCCTTACATAGCGTGGTTCCAAGTGTTAGATTATCGTTTCAGGAGAGAGAAATAAATAAAAGGAAGAGACAGGGAGTTTAAACTAGAAAAACTGGTTTGCTACCAGCTACAGGAGTGGTGAAATAAGGGTCGGAGAGAGGGTAGAGATAGAAAGATATAAAATAAAGTAGGAAAAAAAATACACATGCACACACATGCAGGGCGTTCTGATCCCAGTGGTTTGAAGAGGCCGGTTGAACACAAGATGTGCAGGAGCGCCTTCACAGCCTTCTTCTCAGACATAAAGTCCCGTGAAACAGCCCAGGAAACAGTGATATTGCCTACGAGCTAATGCTGGAAGGAAATCTATAGTTTACTACTTATGAGCAAACTGGATAAACAGCAATGTTATCCTTATAGGACACTTACATACGTAGGGGCGGTATCTGTATGTAGATGCCTAGCTTTTCACGCCTTCAGAAGTGCATACTCGAGCGACAAGCAGCGTAATGTGGTCTTATCTTGATGCTGTGTGTGGATCCCATTAACTTTAATGCTTTCACCTTCCCTTCAACTTTAGTAGTGCTTGTGTACTTGTACTTTTTAACACTATGTCACGTGTGCAATTACTGCCCATGGTGACTCCATCTAGAGTGAGCTGAAATTCAGTGATGCATGTAGACGTTAAACAAAACTCCAGTTGTCAAATTTCATTTGAAATCTTCTGCTATCTACAGATTACCACATAGCCTAATGCATATTCTCACAATATTAAAACAACGCGAATTCACAAAAGTAGACAAAAAAAAAGCTTTGCAGTGATTTTGTCAATGATGAATTTCGTTACTGCACAATTTCGGTGGCCTTATGCGCTAAACATTGCGGAGAATGAAATTTATCAAACAAAAAAAAGGAAAAAAGGAAGAGACAGGTGATTTAGTCGAGATTTCTTCTAGACAATACAAGACGAAATGAACATACGCAGAAGCTACACACACTTCCCTTCGTATTTTTGCGTCTCGAAACAACAAAAAAGTGCCGCCATATCCACGAAGTGAATGATGATGAGTGGGTGAATCTCCGGAGGTAAACCTGGTAAACCATGAATCCTCTGTACATTTTGCCCACTCGATTTTATTACATCGCTCCTCCTAGCGTACGTCGCCACACTGAATCGAACGATTGCCTTCAACCCATAACACGCGCCATATGAGACATCATTCCCATTTTATAACATCTCGCATCTTTCATCAACTACAAGTACCGCAATCTAGTTTATAACATCTTGCATCTTTTCATCATCAGCTACAAGTACCGCCATCTAGCGAACACTACAAGAACTAAACGAGAAGTGGCTACATACAGAATACGGTACCGCCATCTAGTGAACACTGCGAGAACTAAACGAGAGGTGGCTACATACAGGGGACGCACAGCCCACGCCTTAAGGAGCTTCGCCCCCAAAAAAATCTGCGCTAGATCACTTCAAAAGCGTCGCACCAACAAGATCAGAAGTAATCTTTTGCTAAAGTAAAAAGAAAGAAAGAAAGAATAGAAGGAAGAGAGAAAAAAAATGAAGGAACAAGGGTAAAAAATTGGCCGAGTATCTGCACGTTACACTGCAAATGTCATCAAAAGATGATACTTTTGCGTCTGGAGAGATTGAAGAGAACGTTTATTTGATGTACTGAGCATGAGAATCGGTGAATGGTATTCTGGAGGTGCTGCGTTAGAGTGCCTCGAGCGTGCAGCGGAGGCGAACGAGCGCATCAAGTCACGTCACGCGTGAGACCTGAGCGCTATCTGGCAGTTATCTTGGAAAACGAAACGCGCGGCTCTGAGACGGGCGCACATGCCCGTCTTAGAGGTGATAAGGTGTAGAGCACAAGGCGACGGGTAGGTGCCACCCCGGTGTCGTTTCAGCAAAGCGTTGGAAACACTTGCCTTTTTGTGCAAGCGTTGCATGGTCAGCGCAGCGTGATAAACGCTATGCTCCTTAGAATAACTTATGTATGCGTTTTCTAGTAAAATAGGCACATACAGAATGTATACCTGTTGTAATGGTGCCTCAGATATGCGCTATAATTGCTTTTTAATCGAAAATTGTACAAGTACGAACGCTGAATCTCGAGCAATATTGGTGGGCGCTGCGGATGGGGTTGGCCGTTTAGGGAATAGTTTGGTGCCATTCAGGGTACCCAGTACCGTTGAGGGTGAATAAACAGACAGACAGACAGACAGACAGACAGACAGACAGACAGACAGACAGACAGACAGACAGACAGACAGACAGACAGACAGACAGACAGACAGACAGACAGACAGATCCAAATTTTTGCGTCAAAGGTCCCCAGAAAGACTATCGTCTTAAAAAAAAGGCTGCGTAGAATACATATCGGTCTCTAACGAACTTTATTGCTCCTAAACTTCTAGAAAAAATGACGTACACCAGCGAAGCCACGTACTGCTTTCTTCGCAGAGTTCCTGAAGCACGCGCCTTGCATGAACAAGGTCGGTGACACACTTCACATGTGCATGAAGAAGCTCACGCTCAGTCTGGACTACAGCGCCAGCATTGAGCCACACCTGAGGGTCGGCCGATCCTGCTGGTGAGTGTCCGAGCCTCCTCAGCAGCCTATTTGGCTGGTACTTTAAGTTCTGGTATAGGAGAAAAGAAAGATAAAGAACAGCAAGGACATCAGACATAAGAAAAGGACGAAGGTTTTCTGCTCCGCTGTAGGCCCAATAAACGACAGGAAGTGTTTAAACTTGGCTTTACTTCTAGAGCTTGTACTCATTACATGAAGATTGAGAAGGAATTTTCCCCTTTATTTTTAGATAAGACTCACTGTCTAGTTAGTTATATTAGTGGACGTTGACTGGCATTAGAAGCAGTTGTGTATTTTCATGCACGAACATTTTAAGCGGAAATCGTGGCTACGTGTTATATGACTTTCAATAGCAGTCCTGATCAACAAAAGTGTAATTATCGAAACGTAGACTCCAACAGTGTCCCCTGTTCAGCTATGATTTCAAGCACTGATTCCAGTAAACTGGTCAATAATGCTGGTTATTAGCACAACTTTATTCTACGGTACCGGGCACTTCATTACACAACGAGCCGCGGTAATGGTGTGTCGCTTTTGTACGTTTTCAGAGTTGTCGGTATATTGGAGTGATCAAGTGTTGATTTATGGAGCAGTATTATAATTTGCTCTTTTGTAGTAGATAAGCAATTGGTGCAAAAAATTTCACGCTCCAATTATTCACAACAATTATTTTCCAAAGAGGAAAGCTTTCCCTTCTCCAACGACATTTGAAGCAGCTACATGTACGCTGAATGTCCTGCCTGACACAGCAAAGGCTTCAGCGAAGCTGTCACGTGTACAAACCAAACGATGTGATATAGAATATGCAGATAATTCAATGATTCGAAAGCTCAATTTGTGGCTTTTTAATGTCATCACCACGTGGGGTAAGCATAGACACGTAACCCGCGCGAACATGACTATCGGCATCAAATGATACGCGAAGAGTACAGCGCGTGGATCGAGCTTTAGCAAAGGTACAGTGAACGCAGCCCAGTGATAACCATTGACAGGTACGCACATAACGCACAGTCGGTTTGGAAGCAGTGCAAGATCCACGTACAGTCCAATGTTTTTGTGTTTGTTCCAATTATGGCAACAGAAATGAACATAAAATAAAAGAAATGAAAAGAAGTAAAAGTGAAGCGATCGAAGGCGTTGGGAAAGCCAACACTGGCCACCATTTTCCGTTATATCGTCGTATCACCATATCAGATGAAGACAAGCAAAACAATATAGTGGTATAACAAAGTGCTATCAAACCAGATGGGTGTGCCTGTCATTGGCTATTAGTGATGACCGGAAGACGCTTACTATGGTTTGGCTAATGATTTGTCCACGCGTTCTGCTGCTCGCGTTTGATTTGACGTCGATGATACTTTGCGCTTTTAGGAGATTCGGATGGTGTGTTGCCGATAAGAGACTTCTATGCGTAAATGGTCGTCGGTGTTTCAGAAAACTTATCCTTCGTCTCACCCTGCGCAGCAACTTTGCCGAGTACCTGAAGTGTTCGGGTGACGCGATGCGCAAGCAGTGCGGGGAGGAGGCCGAGGACTACATCAAGAAGCTGCTGACGAGGTCGGCAGGCGACTTCATCGAAATCGCCTGCATCAACCACCGAACCGACTTCGAATCTTGCAAGTCGTCGGCGGCTGTGGTGGACATGTCGACGACGAGAATCACCTCGCTACTCTCGCCCATGGCCAAGCTCGTTTCGGCCGAGGGCTAGCAGCTGCATTAGCCGTATTCCCGTACCCGACTCGAATCGGGGTCGCGGGATCTGAAACGCGCGAAATACCACAGTAAATGGAGCTGACCGCAGCAGGAAGCGGGAAGACCATCAGAAAGTGGACAGAGCTTGAATGTGATCATACTTAGCCAGCCATACACCCGTGTTCATTTTATAACTACTTGCGCGGATTGGAGTTCTCCATGTCCCTCGAGGGACACATGGGACACATGGTGACCACAGAGAAATAACTTGCGGCAGTTAGTTATAATCGCATAAGGAAACGTTCGGGCTTGCCTTGACGCACCGTTAAAGTGACGAGCCCGAGGTTTGTTCTCATCTTTGTTTAACCGGAGATCTGAAATGGTCCATTAGGCGGTGGATTCCGACATGGTTTTCCTCTTGTGGTTTCCGTTACTTTCGCGTCGTGTTCTAAGGTATGCTCCGTTATAGTTAGCTCCGAATTTTCAAACTAACGCTAAGAAAAAAATTACGCTGCTAACTTGAGCAAGAAGAGAAAGAGGACATGCAGTACTTAATATAAGAGTTACATATGTTGCCTAAGGCAACATGCGGGTGCTCTATTTTTTACTAACACGACAGTCAAACATCTGGGTAACGTCTTTACGTTTCAGTATTACGTGTGTAGCAGTAATCCACAAATTTCCAGGCATTGGCTCTAGCACACCTCGACTGTGTGCTCCTGACACCTCTATGTCTGTTTCTGCACGCAGGTAGTCAGGGAAGCCTCTAACAGAGAGCCGACGTGGTGCGTCAAAATGGCGCTTCGACCTTTGTTATTTTACTGACACTAGCACTGGTTACGGTAGATACTGCGCCCCTTTTCAGCCGCTTCAGGAAAGTATCGAAGAACGTGCGGCGAAAATTACTCTCGGAATCGAAAGGTTCATCTTCATCAAGGAAGAGGATACCAGCAAAAGGTGGTCACGAGAGAATGAAATGAGACGCCCCGATCTGTTCTCCTATTTTATTTTCTTGTAATCAGGCTTGCGCGCCTTGTATTTTGTCTGGATGAATTCCTACAAGCCAGCTAATTGTTCTGTTGTACGAGCATGGTCTCGTCTGTAAGGCGAAATAAGAATTGTATTTCCACTTTTAATTTGTGTGTGTGTGTGTGGGGGGGGGGGAAGACAATTGTCAATATGTTTACACGAAAAGTGGTGCTGGCAGTCATCCTAACACGTTCATTTCTTTCTATTCGTGCTCATCTGTTGATTTAAAGAGAACGTCTGCTGTAGACCGATGTCTCAAGCTACGGATAGTTATGAAAGCATTGAATCTACACTAGCACGTAACTGGCCGTGAAAAATACAAAAAGAAGTGCGCTGTGGATGTCGCATAGTCATTTTATTTTTGGTGTCTTATCGTTATCCTTTTATAACTTCTTTGACTACCCTGAATATACGACGCTGGCTCATTCAGTACACTCTTAATCGGGTCGTGGCTAAATGCTGGGTATATACAGGAAACCAGACTAAAAATGCCCGGTGTCCTGGCTACATCTAGCACTTTAAGCGACACTTCCTTATGAGTGTAGGGGCAGGATGTAAGCCACCAGAGGGGCAGCAAGAATTGTCGAATAAACAATTGTAGTACGACTGTTCTTTTTTCTTGCGCTGCATGAGTGATTACTTCTCTCTCCTGTGACGTTCTCTTTTGTTGATATTTTTTGGCATTGTTGTAACTATCATACATACAGTTCTTTCAGTTTTCTGCGCTGGCGCCAACGGTGCTGTGTATAGTGTTTGAATGAGTATGGAATAAAGACAGTCGTCTTCTGGCTTTCTTTTGGCTACTGTAGAAGGAGGTTGCTGGCACGTACGGCCGCCATGTGCGGGTGCCAGCGCTTATGCAAGCGAGCACGGGCACTTGCAGTGAAAGAATGCATCTGCTTCCGCATTAAGGAGCTCTACTTGAAAAAAAGTTTGGAGTGAACGGCAGCCCGTATAACAAGGATGAAGAGAAATAGAGATGGGAAAACAAACAAACCTATGACAGCTCCTATACTAACCGAAGAAGAGCAGAGCACGAGCATCCAGTGGTTCCTTATTGTAGAGTTCCCGCTTTTCCGTTTACCAAAGCAGTGATGATGCCAATGTTTCAGGTAAGTATGTAGAGTTTCCTCGGCACGAGTAGATTCTTGTTCAGGAGATTCGGAAAAACTTCGCGCGTGACTTAAGCACTACTTTTCTGCTGCGTTTCATCGACCTTCCTGCTTGTTACGGCAATTAAGATAGGCATCGTCTGCAGTGAGTTCTGTCAGGTTGTCTACCCGCATCAGATGTAGTCACGTAGCGACTCAACGCCTACGCCAGGGCAGCCCGGACGCAGAAGCGGCGCGGGAATTCGCTCGCTTGCTCGGCATACGTGATGCTGTCCCTCTCGCGTGGTCTCGTAGTCAGCCGCAGCTTTCAGAAAGTCTTTTTGCCAATTTTAGCTGATTATTGCGATTGCTTCTTGGTTATTTTTGTGGCTTACACTGTTCTAGGACATTGTTGGTTCATTTAACTTGGTTCCGAGCATCGGTAGCATTGTTGTGGCCTGTATTGAAGCGCCCACAATATGCATGAATGGACAAAGAGCCGAGCCTGTAAAGTGCTTCGCACTTAGGAACGTTGGCAGTCAGCACTCAATCGCGTCGTCGTTCTCCCTTTGCGCTTAGTGTATGCACTGTCGATGACTTAAAACTGTGTAGAACACCAACCAGTCCAACGCCGTTCCCATTTACTACCAGGAATTAACGAAATACGGGGTATTTTGAGGGCGCGTTTTTCTTTGCTCTCCACGGCATTAACTATAACATTAGTTAATAAGAAATGACTCACACAACAATAACGAGAAATACAATTACATGGAGCATTGATTGGAACACAACATTACCTAGAGCATTATTCTGAATTATTATTGCGACTAGTCGGAATAGCAACGCAAAGTATAACGTACTAGACACCGATGAACGGCGGAAAGCAAGTAAGCAAGCACCGCTTGAATTGGAGATTGGTGCGGACATATCTGCCCTTCGTTTTAGAGTGCGAGGCAGTCCTTCCATAGGCTCAGTACGTCGATGTCTTTAAACTTCATTGCCGCTCTGTCCTTCAGCCTCTGCAGCTGCTCCGAGGTGAGGTGATTCCTCCAGTCTCCCACGACACCTTTGCGGACCACGCTTGCGCCTTCCGCTGGCTTGCTGGTCGCTCGGTGGCCGGAGTGGTCCAGGTACAACTGTGCCCACCGTGGAAGCCTGTTATTCAGAGTTGAAAAAAAGGGGGGGGGAGCAAAAAGCACTTCAACATGTGACATGCTGATCGATGTGCTGCTGTTCAAAGGATTAACTATAGTCGAGATATTTGTGACGACTTATGTTCGCGAAATGTTTGGGGCACGCTTGCATCTATACCATAAGTGCACGGCGTATAAGCTAACAGTACAGCGAATCTTTCATAAACGAGAATCGGCTTATAAACTGTTATTGCCGATGATTATCTACAATGCTTTTCTAGCAAAGGTCGTTTTTATTCTTAAATTGAAGTGAACTATACTCGTTGACAACGTTTTTTGACAATAGCGCGCGATTCGGCAACGGACTTGAAAAGCGCGTAACCTTTGGCTAATAAAAGTACTCCCATAACTGTGTCAGTAAGTTATATTGGGTGAATCATAATAAATAGCTATGAATTTTCAACATGTTTCAGAATTTACCGAACAGCACGTGTGGCTCTTTGAAACGTGGGACTGCTGAGTCAAAGGAGGTATCATTGCTTGCTTTCTCTCTCTATACGTTGGCATACTTTTGTATGAGTGAGAAAGTTGAACTTTTTACGGGTACCTGTCGACAAAGGAAATCGCAGCTGAAATTGACGAAGGAGATTCATGTTTTATTAAAAGAAACGAACTTGGACCAGTGGATGTGAACGTGATGCCGCCGCACCCCTCAAGCGTGACAGACAGTGAATGACTGTGCGCCGTGTTATCCGCCGTCTTTCTCTCCCTTTCCTCTCCATATTTCAACGTGGCCCCATCCTACTCTCACGTGTAGGGTAGCAGACTAGTTGCACCAAACTTGTTAACCTCCCCGCCTTTCCTTCTCTACTATTTCTTGTTTTCGAATGCTGAGCGGTGTCGTCGTTGATATATGAAATGCTGACCTCACGCAGCCATCCTATTCTACAACAGCGCGAACACTGCAAAGCGCTTGCAAGCAACACTTCGCGTAGGAGCACGTGTAAAGAAGCAGCGCCCCCAACCTTCATTTACCCTTAGCTTCCCCTTAATTTCCACGACAAGTTGACTGCAATCGTACCACTTTGTCTGGTATGACCAATGGCATAGGCGGGCACACTTGGGGTGCTAGAATGATGGTGCCCCCCCCCCCCTATTCGTCTTAAGGGAGGCGCCAAATCCGTCTTACCTTTACGAAGTCGTACATGTCCCCGGTCCTGTTTAAATTACAAAGATATGACCATGTAAGTGTTTGATAATAACGGGGATCGCGAACCTTTGATGTTCCATTTCAAGGACTTTTAACGGTTCACCTCTGTGCCCCCGTTAAGCCGGGGACCGAATGGGTAGGCCGTTGCAATAAGTGCGTATGCACTTCGTTCTGTTTGCAAAATCAGAATACCATACTATTTATTGTTATAGATAAGCATAGAGAAAAAGTCGTCGTTTTGTTTTAAATGCCGAGTAAATTCATCGAGAAATATGCTCCACTTTTTGCAGTTAGTAGATTTCGGCTGTAAAATTGTGAATGCTGCGAAGTTCAACTGTATCAGGTTAATGAGACGCTTAAAATGCAACTGCTTCATTTCCGTGAGTATGAACAAAGTATGAAAGGCCATTGAAATATACTGAGGCTAAAAAAAAAAAACGAAACAACACCCAGTTAGTGTCGACAACACGTAAGCTTTTTTTTCTGAAGAACTTGAAGTAGTTATACTAATGCTAGCAAATATGACTCTGGAAAACCATGAACCCGTTTGGAAAAGTACCATGTCTCGGCTGTCTTGGGAAATTTGTAGCAATACGTCCAGTGTGCAAGACTGCTTGTGGAAAACACGAAGAACTTAACTACCATGAGTAAATACAGAAAAAAAACGAAGAATATGCTTATGCCCCCAATTCCAGTTTATTCACGTAAGTACGTATTTCGTTATCAGTATTTGAAACGACTCTATCAGCTCCACCGTAGATAGTGTGTGAGAGAGAGAGGGGAAAGAGAGAGAGGAATAGGAAGAGCAACAAATGAAGAAACAAGCAAGCAAACAAACAAACTTTGAAACGTAGCTTTTCAGCCTAACGTCATGTTCGTGAGGCAGCAATTATAAAGCCGAGCAATATGATCTCACACAGGAAAATTGCGCGGTATCTTTTACCATACATACCTCGAGAAAATGCAATGTTTTTAGATTTTCCGCATCCCAGTTTCCGTCTCGGAGCACTCCAATTCTCGCCTTGATAGCATTCGCGATGTGAAGCAACAAGACAGCGTTGCTTTCGCGTGTGCTCAAAATGAAGTGGCCACTTGAAAAAAAAAAGGAAAAGGCCACTTTGGAAAGCCGTCAGGAAGGCCACTTTGAAAAACTCGTTTGAGTGAGCCAGTCTCAAAAGAAAGTACCCGATCTTTGCGCAACACTCCGGAGCTGCAGAATTATGAGCCCCTTCATATTGCCTTATAGAAAAGAACAACAAATACGAGATACGCTACTGATGTGCAAACAATTCGATAGAAAGAGTGCAGCACGGAAAATTGGTGCAACACCTGTTCAAGATAATTTGAAAACAAAACGGTGGTTTTGTGTACAGCGCCGAAATAAAAGTCACGTATTAGTGATTTACGTACAGTAGTTTTCACATTCGTAAGTGTTAGTTTGCGTTTGACGAAATTAGTTACACCAAATCGCTGTTTCCGGCATTCTACTCGTGGAAAGGAACTGTGTTAGAAACGGAGTGCGTGTGCTCGCGAGTAGCAGATGACGTTGCGGTGCCGTGTTGAGACAAGCTTTGTTATACGTGAGGTACAACTGCTGAATATGTATGTCAGGCTGACCCAGGACTACAACCTTGACGAAGATGTGTTTTGTCATACGTATAGCCCCTACCTAAAGAAAAACTGTACGGAGGTGACTGCTGCTCATGAAAAATTTACCTGTGCCTTGGCGTGTAGGCCATCAGTTCAGCTTGGTACTCTCGCTCGAGCTCAGCTAATCGTCGCACTTCAGGAACGCTGGAAGCTTTCAGCACCTTGGATAAGGCGTCCGAGTCAGCGCGGAGCGCATCTCCGTACTCGGCCCCGAGGAAGTCAGCCAATGCGAGAATCCAAGACTTCGTGTCTCTTTTCAAGTCTTCGTACCTGCAGCAGCCAACAGAAACGTAGTCGGTTCAGAATAAAATGTCGATCACTTTTGTTGATGCAAGTTAACTTTCCACCTTTCAACTTTCATTCGATCGAACTCACTGGCTGAATCACTGTCCTATGATTATTTAGTAGACAGTTATTGTGCTCACGGGCATTATCTCTCTCTTGTACCTTTATATCTTTTATAAAATAAAACTTTACACTTATTGAAATTAATGAGCTAGATGACGCCAAAGCTGGCCGGAAAAAAAAATGACTGATCGCTGTCAAAAGGATAAGTGAAGCATAAAAGTGAAAAGTGAATAGAGGAACTTGAGCGTTTCTGGTGCATTGTTTGGCACAAAGGCTAATGAATGGATGCGATGACAATCAGTTGTAATGTTACTCGAAGAACGGCAAGCAGCTCGAAAAGAGCAGTGCTCCGGTCAAGCTGAAAACACGTACTACAAGAGCGTACACGTGAACTAACAACTGTCACAGCTCGACACTTAAAGAGACCGACCAGTGATTTTTCTCAACCCAGTTTTTCCAGCGTGACAGTAGTTAATCCCCAAAACACGTAGTTATTTTACGAGCTGTACTTTTTTTTATCTGAAAGGCTCCGAGCACAGGTGTTCCCGTTTGTCCAGCAACGCTTAGAATTGATAGCGATGCCGGTAGCCCTTCTAGCGATTTCGCACGCGGTTGTTGTTCTACTCTTGCAGGAGTTGTTGTAACTACGCTTAACCACGCTTAATATAAGCTTTATAACTATTTTTTCATATAACAAGCCATTACAATAAGACGATGTGGCTTCACACAGCTTTCACGTATTTGTACCACGTTGCGTGCGCCGGCACCTGAGGTTGTCGCGCCTGTGTCGTGGATGGCTTGTTCCGTCATCGTAAGTCTCTCGACGCACGAGCCAAGCCAAGTCACTGAAAACGTCAGTGCGCATATGCACGGCCATACGACTAGCAGTACAAGTCACTTCTGAAGGAAATTGTAAATAAAAAAAAAACCCACGTCACTCTAAAATCTTAGCGACCCGTTAAGCGCACGCATGCTTTCATGAGCACGCAGAGAAGTTGTTCAAGACGCGCTGACGAGCATGGGATGATTACGTCATGCGAAGGCAGCGCCATTTCAATGCGTACTAATAACACAGGCCTATATGCACATTTTATAGTGTAATACGTTTCGCTATAAAGAAGCAAGCAATATTTCAACACTAACAGGAAAATGGTTGACCACTTACATCACATAACAGGCCACATCATATAATTGAAGTTTCTGCCACCGGATAGTGTCACAGGCTAGTTTCCCGATTTCCAACGAAGAAATAAAAATAAAACTCCACTTTTCACGAGTAACTATGAGGGACAATCTTTCCTTCCGTGCAGTCATTCCATTTCATGTTCTGAGCAGTTGTCAGTGTGTTCAAAGCACGCTGGTCACACACAAAGCAATAAGCATGAAATGAACGCAAATGTACGCACACGACGAGTGTGAGCTGTCACAGTTCTTACTTTATGCTTGAGCAGCACCCTCCTTCCGGACTGGGGCCACTGCAGCGAGCGAAGTGCGGTTAAAGCACTTGCGCTTAAAGCACTTGCGGTTAAAGCATGAGACGTACAAAATGGCTCCCGCCACGTGATAGGTGTGCGTGCGTGAATGATCACGCTCTGTAGAGACGTGCGTGCGGCGCAACACGAGGGGCTACGACCTTGTTATAGTGCATTTGGCGCGATAGCGTTAGTGATAACAAAAACACGCTCGAAAGGAAAGAAAGAAATACAGGACATGGCAGGTAACACACAGTCGATCGCACTGCGTCACGCTTGTACGCGCACCTGATGAAAAGCACGTTTTGGTCATTTCGGTGCGGGTACCAGGAAAAGAGGTGGTCGAAGTAATCTCCGCCATCCACGTCGCCGGCGAGGAAAAGCTCGAAGAATTCGTTGAAGGTACCTTGTTCAAACTGGTAGATGGGATAGAGCTTGTAGTGGTGGTAGAAGGAGACGCAACAGTCGAAAGGGTTGCGCACCACGTAGATGTACTTGGCTTCGGGACAGATGCGATCTTCGTCGTAGAGCATATGCGTCTTGATTGCGCTACCTGCAGATAAAGCCACAGAGGAACAATCGGTACTTTTAAACAATGACGACAAAAATATTGCAAAATGCTGAGATATCAAGAACGTGCCTATCTATCTATCTATCTATCTATCTATCTATCTATCTATCTATCTATCTATCTATCTATCTATCTATCTATCTATCTATCTATCTATCTATCTACTATCTATCTATCTATCTATCTATCTATCTTATCTATCTATCTATCTATCTATCTATCTATCTATCTATCTATCTATCTATCTGTCTATCTATCTATCTGTCTATCTATCTGTCTGTCTGTCTGTCTGTCTGTCTGTCTGTCTGTCTATCTGTCTGTCTGTCTGTCTGTCTGTCTGTCTGTCTGTCTGTCTGTCTGTCTGTCTGTCTGTCTGTCTGTCTGTCTGTCTGTCTGTCTGTCTGTCTGTCTGTCTGTCTGTCTGTCTATCTATCTGTCTGTCTGTCTGTCTGTCTGTCTGTCTGTCTGTCTGTCTGTCTGTCTGTCTGTCTGTCTGTCTGTCTGTCTGTCTGTCTGTCTGTCTGTCTGTCTGTCTGTCTGTCTGTCTGTCTGTCTGTCTGTCTGTCTGTCTGTCTATCTATCTATCTATCTATCTATCTATCTATCTATCTATCTATCTATCTATCTATCTATCTATCTATCTATCTATCTATCTATCTATCTATCTATCTATCTATCTATCTATCTATCTATCTATCTATTATCTATCTATCCCAGAGAGCTGTATTGACTATTCTGATTGGCCTAAAATGCCACCATTACCAAATTTGACATTACGGCAGAATTTCACACCGTTCCGAGTGTTAATCCCTAACGCTGTAATTTCAAGGGGGGCAAAACTGAAGATCGTTTCGGGTAAGTTTTCGACGAAAAAACAACACACCGGGAAAGGACAGTCCCGCCAGGGCCTCTACGCCGTGCCTCTCGAGGAAAGGCATGCTCCGGAAGAAATGCTCGACGCTCGGTGGTGGCTGGCCAAGTCTGCAGATGTGGTAGACGATGTGCTGCATCCAGGTTGTGCCGCACTTGGGGTACGTCACAATGTACACTTCGCCAGGGCGGTGGCGGTAGGCGAGCGCTCCTCGAAGAATCTCCTCGGGAAAGTGCTCGCAGAAGACGTACGAGCCGACGCGACGGCTTCGCACCACACAGTCCAGGTCTTGCTCCTCCCGCTGTATCATGATAGACCCACGTGGCGAGTTAACTATACGGGTTAACTATAAGAGTTCACTGTTGTGAGTTAACTTGGTGGGCTACTTGAAGCTGCAAATGAAGATAACATAATACGAGAGTAAAAGGAGGCATGCACTATTGGTCGCCACTTCCACTACATTTCTTTTTCATCTCCAAAGTCGGCCCTTTAGCACGCTACTACGCGGCTCCATAAAGACATTTACACTTGCTTTGCATCAAATTTTCATAGAAATAATAGATGGTCGAATTCTGTGCATTGTCAGGGCACGTTAAAAAGATCAGATGATCGAAATTCCCGGAGCCCTACGCTACAGCGTCTCTAGTAATCATACCGTGGTTCTGGGACGTGAAGCACCAAATATTATCATTATCAGAACTTGTCAACAGTCGCGTGCACTCCACACGATTCTACCGTTTGAAAAGCGTGAAAAAATTTGTCACTGCTGGTATATGAAGCGACAGATATAGTGCAGTCATACTTGTAGATCCTGAAGGAACAAAGCCGCAAAAGAAAGTGAAAGGAACTCACTTGTTCTTCAGGCATGCTGAATAGTCAGGTGCCGCTGCAACAACTACAAAGTGACTTGCTGGAGGTAAGTTCAAACCGCTATAAAGCGTGGTACTGTAGCCCGCTACTTACAACAATCTGGCACATGGGAGGCTCCAACAAAAATTGCGTGCTCGAATTACTTTCTTCAGTTGTTAGAGTCACGACCAATGCTTTTCGGAACCTTACGCATTGATCGAATGAGAAGCACTAGGAACGATCACCACTAAAAAGCCATATACACATCGTATCGTTCATATACCGTACATGTTAATAAGCTGCGTTGCGAATGGGGCGTATAAGAAAGGATAGAACCAGCGACTGTGTTTTATAGTGCTCCGCCACAACTGCGTGGACGTATAACGCACGTCTCACTCTACACGGCGAATAACACGCAATTAAATGTCGCGTCAATCTTCCTTCTTTAAGTATGGGGTAGTGTATGACGTATTGTAGCGAAGATGACGAGTCACACCTCTGGGGCTTTCGTGCAGTTGGTTCGCATCCAAAACATCATGGCGACACGAATTATCTGGAGCCAATTGCTTCGTAGATAGAAGAGATGATACGACCGACTCACGGGGAGTTGCCCAAGAGCAGACGAAGGGCGGCTTTTTCGTGGCGTTGCGGATTGATAATTGAGTCACACGACCGTGCACCGTGCAAAGGTGGTTCCGGAAACAACAGCTTCGCGGAAGGAGATGTGTCAGTACACAAGCGTACATAGCGTCACGCGCCAAAGGTAAGGGTCCTAGGCGAACTATTTTTCGCCAGACGATGAAGTGAAAAAAAAAGACTAACGGAAAACATTTCAGGCCGGTGCCGCTTAGGAAAAAATGTCACCAAGCGAAACCATAAGCGCGCGTGTGAACCTGAAGAACAATCGTCATCATCATTATCAGCATCGTTCTCATAATCATGGTGTTGAATGTGATCATCGTTTGGCATTATTTTTTATTGAACTCGCCTCTAGGCATGTTACATTTCCTGTGGTCAGGTGACACGCAAATTAGGCCTACTACTACTACTACTACTACTACTACTACTACTACTACTACTACTACTACTACTACTACTACTACTACTACTACTACTACTATTAGTACTACTGCTGCTGCTGCCGGTACTACTTCTATTACTAATATTTTTAAAGTGGCTATACGTTTAGGAAGTTTGTCACTTGAACAACCGCGCTACAATGACGGGAAATAGTTGTTGCACTTTGGAAGCGGCATAGCATGCGTCACATGCGCTGATGTGGCACAGGGCAAACTAAAGAAAGTCCAGCGAATGCGGTGCGTTCGGCCGAACCATAACGCATGGGCCCTTTATTCACAAGTTGATACCGCGTGTAGTTTAACCATATCTCTGCGTAGAAGTGCGATTCGGAAGCTGCGCCGGTGCAAGTGGAGCAGCATTACTTTTTTTGCAGCTGTCAAAATAACAGGTCCACGCTTCAGTTAGTGCGTATTTGTTGAGATAATGCCCGCTAACGTGCCGCCAGTTAATCGTTTCCGGATAAACAGTTTCGTGGTCACGATCACCGATGTGTATTTTCCAACTGCCGAGCTTAACACATCCTGGTACATTAATCATCCTGGTACAAAGGGCAGGGATGTAATCAACGCGAGCCCATGACTCACGCTTACTAAGAACTCCTCCCTGAAGATGATCAATCGCAAGCTCCTATCCCAATTACGAAAAAAGTTCCACGGGTTACCCAGTCTTTTCAGACAGGGATAAAGACACGCTGCTTCCTTTAGTGTAGCGCGCGTGCGGCCCCGGACATCTAAGGGCATCACAGACCTCTTATGGCTCCGTTTCCTGCGGCTAGGAGCCACTTGTCCCTCTAAGAAGGCTGTAAGGTGCTGCAAACCCCGCACCTATTTAATAGGCTACAGTCTCGTTCGTTATCAGAATTAACCTGACGAATCGCTCCACCAAATCAAGAAAGAGCTCTTTATCTGTCAATCATGCTGCACCTTACCCTCACCTTCTTTCCATAAATATCAATCTCACATCACTCTTTGACACCATATTTCCCTTCCCAGCACCTTCCTATATACTTTCCTACACATGGCTATAGCATACTTCCATTTCGGTGTGCAGCTGCACCATGTTTCGAGCGGTTGCCACCAAGGGTTCGAACTGAAGTCTAAACAGTTCAGCAGTAAAGAAAGGCAGAAAAACTTGAGATTGTATCACTATGTAAAGTGCGTGACCGGGGGAGATTACAAGTGCATTCCCGTCTTCGTTCTCGTCGCCGTTCATTGCAAAGCGAGCTGCTCCTTGGGCGTTCTCAGAATGCGTGGTCGCCATACTCGCTACGGAGGACACAGCGCCTATACCCAGCGCCTCTATTCGACTGACATGGATGAACACGCACTGACTGGTTTTGGTCACGTTCTTCGGCCGCTACTTAGAGGGCTCCAGTTGTTTTATCAATTGAATGCTTGAAATACTTGTTTGAAACATTAAAATAATGAAATATTTGGTGCCTATAAAGAGTGGTGGAACAAATAGTGCACTTAAATTAGTTCTTCCTCCGCCAGGTAGAAGACGCTAAGGGTTTTCGAACTTGAATAGAATAAAAAAAATCGAAAGGAAAAGAAACATTAAGGGATAATGTTTGCAGCTCCGCTGTAGAGAATAAGCAATGGCTGCTTTTTTTACTTCGAAGCGATTTTATGAGCCTGAAGGATCATTTCCCCTCTTGGATACTTTCAAAGAAAATCTCAAGAAACAGACTGGCAATCACTTAGACATTTATGAGACCGATGCAATCTACATTGCATTTCTACCACCGTTGCATGTACGTCTGTAAGCCGACGCTGTAGATTCGCAGCGTCTTGGAGTGTTGTCACGCACATTGCAAGTATATTTTGATTCATGAATAGAAGAGTGCGCTTTTATTTAAAGTCTGCTTGAGGGAAGAGTTTTCTAACATCTCGGCAATTTTATGCACATAAAACTTCATGATGAATGATCCTGGAAGCTGGTAAGACTGGGTCGACGATGAACCGTCGGTGACGTCCGCTGACTTTTGAACCGACTCTAAGGCGATGCCGTAGCTTATGAGGTAGGGACCATTAAAGGGAGCTCTTTGCGTTTCGTTGACACTGTGTGCAAGTGGACACGCTGTGTGACATCTGCGAGACGCAGTGGTACCGCGTCTTCGTGAAGTACCAACATCGAAAACGTGAGTCTTCGTGCTGCTTCAGAAACGTGCATGTAGACGCTTTGTGTGACGTCGCCAAGCTTAGATGTTTAACTGCAGGCGAAAACTGTTGTTACGCCCAGGGGGGTGTCTATACAACCCTGACCATAACATGGTCGCCTGGAACCCAGGAAGGAAGGAAAATATGAGGAAAAGAACGGCAGGGAGGTTAACCAGCCTATAGGCAGCCGGTTTGCTACCCTGAGCATGGGAGGGGGATGGGGGAGATGAAAGATAGAGAGCAGAGAAGTTATGAAAACTCTTATGGGGCAAAACCAATGGTTACTCGAGTTTCTCGAGAGGAAAATAGAAGCGTTACACGTCACGCCGGTCCTCAATCAGGCTATCAATGATTTCGACGGTAAGGGCTCATGCAATGAGGCTGGGGCATGGCTGAGACATGGCCTCCATGCATGTCTTGCTCTGCTCGCGCGACAGCATCAGACCAAAAATTATTATCAAGACGCCAGCTTGATTGGAACTTTAGGCCCGTGTCTATAACATCACTACGTGGGAGGAGTTGAACATTGCCCTCAAAAAGAGATTTGCGGGCCACACAAACCTGGCTGGAACGTGCAAGCGGATCCAGAAAAATTCCAATCGAGGGGAGGGTGCATCAAGTTTAACTTCACTGAAAAGACTTTGGAATGCAAGGAATTGTACCGGAGTACGCAGAATACATACGCGAAGTTTTTGTGGTGTGGCGGTTTGAAGACGCGTGCGTTTCTATGAATACGGAGCAAAAACGAAAGAATATTGTTACGTGAGTAACGAGACAAAGTATTGCGAATATATTCGAAAAATATATTTGCAAGAGCGGTTGCAGCACTGGCCAGTCTGGCTCCGAGCTCGAGCAGCCAGCGAGCCTCATCTTCTTCGTCGGGCGCACACGCGCATTCGCACTATGGTTTGTGGCAGCCTACAGGTAGCATAACCCCCGTCGGCAAAGGCGCCGTCTCGGCGCATCTAGATGTCAAGATCATTGGGCGAGTGGTACTGCTTCAGGCGTGCGACGTGTACGATGTCGCTGGCCCTAGGGGTGGATGAAGACGGCGAGGCAGCAGGAGTGATTTCATAAGTGACGGGAGTCACCTCACGAAGCACTCTGTATGGCCCTGTGTACCGAGAGAGCAGCTTGTCAGACAGGCCAACGTGCCTGGTCGGAGACCACAGCAGAACCAACGAACCGGGCGAAAAGTGCACATCGCGGTGTCGTTGGTCGT